TTTTAACTACTCATTTCAAATTTCTTTCATTTAAGAGAAAGTGAAACACAGGTGTAAAAGGGTTTTCTTTTCATTTTAATAAATAAGCATTTACTTCATTCTTCTGTATTGTGAGAGTTTGTGGTAAAACGTTTACTTCATTTTTGAAAGTTAAATTTTAAGGTTCGAGATTATTCCCCACTTTTATTTCCACCAATATTCGATCAATTCCTTTATGGTTATATAAATACTTTTCGACCAAAATATGTACAAACAAGCGCATCGCTTGAAGAAGCGCAAACTTCAGAATTAATAGAGCCGGATGATGCGATTACAAAGTTCGTTTAATTCACTATTTTTTAAAATTGTGGTGGTTTGAGAGATGTCGAGATACTTTTGCCATCTACAGATTTATGTTTTCCTAATTTTTTTATATATTTCTGTCTAGGAATCTTATTTTGTTCAGAAAATAGCTAATGCTAATAGTAACATTATTTTATAAGCCACGCGGACTTATACTTACTTCATCAGACTAACACTTCATTATTATCGGCCTCTTGTATAAAAGGTTTAAAATATGCATATACTCTTCGGTTTCCGATATTAGGAAAAATTGAAACCAGAATTATTCAGATTATCGTTCGATATGCAGGCAACTGTGGGTAAATTATCAGAGAAGGCTGAAATTAATGGAAAACCATTCGATCAATTACGTGGCCTTTTACTTATCATTGCATTGATCACTTCAAATATGCGTTCATTAAAATCATTGACTATAAAATTTGTTAGCACATTTCTTTTTATATTTAATTTTTTTGAATGGAACTATAGTGTTTTTCTACATATGAAGAGATATTTGTCTGCATATCACTGAAGTGCATTCTGTAATCAGTTTTTGAAGAGTTGCTTATTCCATTTTATTGCTATGCATAAAATTAGGATTAAACTAAATATTCTTATTTAAATTTCATAAGCACTATTAAAAGATAATGAGAAAGGAAGACTAAAGAACTTTATTAGAAAAGAAATTAACTGGTATGTTAGTTCGAAAATAATTTTGAATGAAACTATTTTTAATTCATTTATCTGATGAATATCTATTAATTGCACTTTTTTCAATCTCAATATCTGAATTCTATGTTTTTAGCTATTATTCCAGATTAAATTAGATTTTTTTAGGAAGCTATGAAATTATTGCATAGGTACGTGCCGTGGGTTGATATATCGGTTGTTGCAAATCGTATATTGCCGTATTTGGTTTGTTATTTTCTCGTTGTTTTCGATATTTGAGCTGAAAATGTACACGAATTTATTTTTCGAATCAGATCAGCGTTTTAGCTTTTCGTATCCATATTCCTTATGATAACGATTTTTAAATAATAAATTTTTATAGGTTGAAATGATGTTCGATTGCATGGTTCAAATGAAATGTGAGGCCATTTATTCATATGGATAAAGATAGGTGTCTGAACAAAGAGGGGAATTAAGATAGATATTTTGAATAATTGCTAACAAAGGAAATACCGTACCAAAACGTGTGAATACGAAGATGTGGATTTGGTTAAAATAAGAATGTCATAAGAAATAATTTGAAGGAATGCAGAATTAATTGAATGAGTCATGAAATTTGTTTACAATAAGAAATTTATTTGATGATTTGTTTGTATGGTTGATGCTTCGCGAATCGAAATTCGCGGCACTCCCGAGGGAGGCGAGGGAAGGAATTAGTACAGTGGTTTAAACTGGATGATTTTTAGGGGTGAGGAAAAGGTATTAAGTCTAATAATGGGGGTTCTAGTTATATCATTTATCGAATCTTCGACTTGATCGAATTCTTTCACCAACTGATTTTCCAGTTGTTGTCCTTGTTACGTAAATTTTTTCCAGAAAGAATCGTCTTCTTGTTGATACGATATTCAGTTAATGGTACCGTGATAGTGGTTTAAAATTTCCAATTCTGCATTGATTCTATTGTTTGGATCAAACGTTTCTTCTGGGGAAATCTCCATCAGAAGTAGTTGTTTTGTCGTTTTTCGAGTTTGATTTGGAGTGGTAATATTTTCATTGATAACATTGTACTACGTCCAGAATGATGTTTCCTTTCATCAAATGAGGATTATTGAGGCCACATCTCGTGTCTATTATTGTGCGATCGGTTTTATCCATTACGAACGAGGCTTGTAATTCGTTGATGACAAAATGATCACTGTATTTCATAGCGTCGAATTTTCCTACTTTTTTATATGGGCATTGATGGGTAGCCTCTGTATTGTTCCATAAAACAATACTAGTGTTTGTGACACATTTGCCCATTTGAACTTTGCAATGGTTAGTATTGTCGAGATTGGAAACAGAGTATTTTCCGTCAAAAATTAGTATTTCTCTTTCTACTGGTACGAAATTTATTGTTGACTGGCAGTTAACTCCCAGCCATCCATATGAATATTGTATTTCGTTAATTGTTATCCATTTATTTGGAGAAATTTGAGTTAACGGTATCCCTGAAGACCACTTGCCATTTTTTGTTGCTACTATTTGGGTTCACGTTACTGATAGAATGAATAGTCATTACGAAGAGTGCTTTCGTAAGATTATTAGACTTATCTGTATTAGTGTGTCTGTTTTGCATTGATTGTTGCGTAGCCTTTCTAGTTCGGCTAGCGATGGGTTGTTCAAATTCCTTGTCTTCATTTTTTCTTGCCTTGTTGACAAGTTGCTTTGATTGGTATTAGGGCTTTCTGATTCCGTTTCTAGTTGTTCTTCCTTTGTTCTATCAGGTTTAGTTAATTCTAAGCATTATAGTTGGTTTATTGAGCGTTCAAGGTATCTTCCATTCGGCAATTGAATTTTTGCGTTTCTGATACATCCGTCCCGACCTCTTTTGAGATTGATAATCTTCGCAAGTTTCCAGCTAGCTCGAGATTTGTCTGATTCTGCTAATAAGACAACCTCATTTTCCTGTGGTTCTCGGGTCTCCACTGATCGAGGAGAGACTATTTCCCTTTGCGTTCGTTCGCGAAGACTTGACAGATATTCATCTCTCCATCGGTTCCAGAAGACATCCAGAATTTTTAAAACCTGCTTCCAACATTCCAACTGCTTTGTCTTTAGTTTTTAATGGATAAGGAGTATATTCTTCGTCCTCCTCGTTGGTCTTAATTGGTATTCTCAATGTGAATGTGGGTGATATGAAGTCAATAACTCGATAGTCATCTGTGCCCACATAGGTTAACGGACGGGTGTTCAGTATTGCTTCGATCTGTACTATTAATGTCATGAATTCTTTTTCTTTTCGGAGTTTTCTCCCTATGGCTCGTCTCAGGGCCTGTTTCGTTATACCTATAATCCTTTCGTATACACCTCCGCCCCATGGTGCTTTGGGAATCGTATTTCTCCATACTATACCCTCTTCTGCCATGAAGTTGGCGTTTTGTTCCATAATGATCTTAAATACGAATTGGAATTGACTTGTGTTGTCGCTTAAGACCAATTTTGGAAAACCTTTTCGAGCCGTAAATCTTGAAGAAACATGATAACAGTCTTCACTAGATAAATTTTCTACCATCTCTAAGTGTACCGTTCTGGTGGTAAAACAAGTGAAAAGCGCAATCCATCTCTTTTTTGTCATCTTGTATGGAATTTTAACGGTAATTGGTCCCAAGTAATCGAGAGCCAGCTTTTCGAATGCTTTTGATCTGATGACTCGGGATTCCGGTAAGTCTGGTCTGGCATGGCTGGTAGTTTAGATGGTTTCGCTTTCCAGCGCTTGCAAGTCATACACTTTGATAGTACACTCTTTACTGCGGCTCTACCTCGAGGTATCCAAAATCTTCGTCTTAGTTGAAACAGCGTATGTGTGATACCCGCGTGGATCACGTTGATTGGAAATGATGAGGTTAGTTAGGTGATGACCCTTAGGTAAGTAAATCGGAAATTTGCCCTCCTCAGTTAATTCAGCGTGTGCTAAACGATCATCGGCTCTCCAAAGATTATCGGTATTAGACAGAAAGAAGCTCCATTTCTCCTTTTCTTCGATTGTTAAGTTTTGCGATTGTGCTTATCGGATCAGCATTCTCTCTGCTGTTTCATAGTCCTTTGTTGTTATTTGGTTTCGTCTAAGTGATAGTGATTGTAGCCGTTGTAATCTTTTATGGCTAATTTGTTTGATAAATCTGAGTACCCATATCGTTGCTCTCAATAATTTTTTATACTTACTGAATCGATGTATTTCAATGAATTGAATCAGAGTCCTTTTCTCTGTCGATGTTGGAATTGTCATGTTGGTGACAGCTGCCTTTTCAAATTCATCATTGCCTTGATAAAGGAAGTGATTTTCGGGCCATTGTGATTCAGGTTCATTTAACCAATATGGTCCATTCCACCACTGTTTATGATTTCGCAGTTTATATGGTGGAAGTCCTCTAGTCGCTATATCCACTGGATTTTCTTGACTAGGGACATATCTCAACTTAAATCTGGAATTTCTGATCTCTTCTACTCTATTTTGTACAAATCGTGATAAGAGTTTCGTATAATTCACAGTCCAATAAGGGACACATTTTGAGCCTGACCACAGTGTTACGGAATAATTTTTTACATGCTCTTGTAACTGTTTTACTACAAATTGTCCGGCCCTTACTCCTCTTAATACAGACAGTAATTCAAGTCTGGGTATTGATAGACCTTTAATTGGAGGACTTGGCGAAGATTAAAAATGTCCTTGACCATCCTCCTGGTACACAATTTCGGATGTAGACAGCCGCAGAGTATGCAGTTTGAGATGCATCCGTGAAGACATGGAATTCTGAATATAATGAGGGGTCTATCACATATCGTGGTATTTCGATTACTTTTTCTGGCCATCCTTCTATTAGTTTCTTCCAATCTTGTTGGTCCCACATAATTTTTTGTCTCCATAGATATTGAATAAACAATTTGAGTCTTATTATAACTGGGACCAGATATCCCAGTGGGTCATATTGAGATGCGATGAATTGTAGGATAGTTCTTTTTGTAACGAATTTTTCTTTCCACGGTTTGATTGTTAGATTTATCCTGTCTTGTTCATGATTCCAATTAAGCC